ATATATATATATATATTTGACTTTTAATCCTCAAACAGCTGAATATACATTCTTCTCCAATGAACAAACACAAGACATTCTCTATAAAAGACCACATTCTGGGGCACAGAGTATGCATTCATAAATTTATGAGGTTGTAAATCATATCAGCTATCTTCTCAGACCATGATGCTCTAAAAATAGAAGTGAAACACAATCAGAAATGCAAAAGTAAGTTAAAAAACCTTGAAATTAAACATTTCACTACTGAAAAACCAGCAGGTTAGATAAATAAATTAAAAGACACCTTGAAACAAATGAGAAAGAGAACATGACTAACAGAACTTGTGGGACACAGCAAAAATGGAGTTAAGAGGAAAGTTCATAGCTATGCAAGCATTCATCAGGAAGGAAGAAAAGTCCAGCATAAATAACAGAACTCAACAATTTAAGAAACTGAAAAATGATTAACAAAAGGAGCCCAAAGCAGACAGGAAGAAGGAACTAATCAAACTTTGAGCAGAGATTAATGAATTACAATTTTTTCAAAAATCAAAATATTGAAAAAAAAGAGCGGGTTCTTCAAAAAAAACGAGATGGTTTTTCAAAAAAGATTAACAAGATTGATAAGTTACTAGCAGGACTAACAAATAAAGAGAAAGAACACTCATCAACGGAATTAGAAATCAAATGAAGGACATCACACAAGGTACTACAGAACTTTAAAGGATCATCAGGGATTACTTTGAAAATATTTCTGCCATATGATGAGAGAATCTAGAAGAAATGGATAAATTCTTGGACTCCAATAACTCCCAAGGTTGACTGCAGTTGATATGGGACACCTGAAAAGACCTATCACTATTAAGGAAATCAAAATGGTGTCAAAAGTCTCCCAAGAACAAAATCGCAGACCCAGAAGAATTCACTATTGAGTTCTTTCAAATCTCTAAAGAAGAGCTACTGCCAATTTGTTTCAGGCTCTTTTGGGAAATCGAAGAAACAGAAACATCCTAAAACAGTTTCTATGAAATAAACATTGTTCTTATACCAAAAGGACATAATAGCCTTAAAAGGGAGAATATTTATAGAAAAACAAAAAGGAGAATGATATCCCGAATGAACGTGAGACACAAAGATCCTCAGCAAAATACTGTTGAATTGAATCCAACAATTTGGCAGAAAGATCATCTACTATGAGTAAATGAGATTCATCCCAGGGCTATAATGATGTTTTTAATATATGCAAGTTACTCATCATAACTAACCACAAAAAAATAAAAATCATGATCATATCAAGACATGCAGAAGGCATTTTACACGATCCAATGCTCATTAATGATAAAAACTCTCAGTAAAATGAGAATTGTCCTAACAGAACCTTTCATCAACTTGGTCAAAGGCATTTACCACAAGCCCATAGCAAACATTATACTGAATGGGGAAAAAACAGAAGCCTTCTCCTAAGATCAGTACAAGAGAAGGTTGGCTACACTACCCACTTCTATCCAATATCATATTGAAAGTACTGGTCTTAGCACTGGAGGGAGGGAGGATATTAAGGGCATCTAAATAAGAAAGGAAAAAATTAAACTTTCACTATTTGCAGAAGACATGATATGAAGAAAAATCTAAAAAAAAAGTCCATAAACACCAACTAATTTGTGCAGTACAATTGCAGACTACAAAACATGTAAAATCCATGACTTTCCTATATGCAAATAATAAAACAAAAAAGCAATGTATATATGTTTAAATCCCATTCACAACTGTGCCTTGGAAAATCAAGTACCTATCAAGCACCTAAATTAGGAACTGGCTTAACCAAAGAGATGAATAGCTATGAAAAGAAAACAAGGATACTACTTATAGAAATTAAAATCAAAAGGAAATGTATACATGTCACTTGCTTATACATCAGGATGATTACATAAGAATAGCAAAACTCCCTAAAGCATTAGATAGATATAATACAATCCCTGTAAGGATACCTATGACTTTTTCTGTGTGTGCCACACACTTAGAACTTAGCACTATCTCTGTTCAGTGGGACCATATATGGATAAAAACTGGGCTGGGAGAATGCAAGTCTGTACCCATTGATAATACCCACTGCATTATCAATCAGATCCTACCCATGAAATTTTTCAAAGAAATAAATGAATCACTCATTAAATTCATATGAAAAAATAAACCCAACTTCCACCCACCAATAGCCAAAGAAATTCTCAGGAAAATGAGATGGAAGACAACACTTTAGTTAACTTCAAACTGTTCTACTAAGCTATAGTAATTAAAACAGCATTGTACTAGAATAAGGACAAACTGTCAGATTAATGGGATAGAACTAAAAATCTGGGTCACTTCATCTTTGATAAAGGAGCCCCTAACAGATAGATTGCGCCATAGCTGGAAGCCTGCCACATGAAAAAAGGGGAGAAGGCAACTGGAATAGAGAAGGGATCACTAAGAAAATTATGGCTCGAGGAACTGATCGGAATGGGAGAAGTGTGCAGAAAGTAGATAAAGAAGCAAACATGATAATCTTTCAGGGTCTGTATTGCAAACCATAATGCCCAAAAGTAGAGAGAGATTATGGGGAATAAAATCTGCCATGGAGGCAGAGGGAGGGTGGGAAAGGGGGGTTATACCAGGGATATTGGTGGTGGGGGAATGTGCACTGGTGGAGGGATGAGTATTTGATTATTGTGTGATTGTAACCCAAAAATGAAAGCTTGTAACTATCTCATGGTGATTCAATAAAATTAATAAGAAAAAAATAAAGGAGCCTCCAAAATATGAAGTGGCCCAAGGAAAGTCTCTTCTACAAGGACGTTGGGAATACTGGTAGGCCACATGCAAAAAAAAAAAAAAAAGTACTTGGACCTCTTTCTAGCATGCAAAAAAATAATTCAAAGCAAAATTAATTTTTAGGACAAAAAGACCTCAATATTGGACCTGAATCCAGAAGGTAACAGAGGAAAATATATACAGAGCTCTCCAAGACATTGAAGCTAGAGGTATGTTTAAGGATGAAAAGCCAGTGCAAGTAAGTGGATGCAGAGATAAACAAATGTGATTACACTTGGAAGAAAAACACTCTTTGAACTTCAAAGGAAACCATGAATATAATTTTTCCCACCATTCTCAAAGATTGATATAAATTGATATAAAAAAGACATATGAAAAATTATTTCATATTATTATTATTACATAAATATATATCATCATTATTCATTAGGGAAATGCAAGTTAAAATAACAATTATATATCACCTCATACCATAGAGACTGGTATATTTCAAAAAGAACAACAACTAGTGTTGGTAAGGATGTGAAGGGAAAAGGGACCATCATTCACTGTTACTGGGAATGTTCACTGGTCCAGCCCACTGAAAGATAATATGGACATTTCTCAAAAGACTAGGAACTGAGTTTTCATATGACCCAACGATTTTATTCCTTGGAATATATCCCAAGTTCCCAAAAGCACAATGCAAAAAAGGCTTCTTAACTCCTATGATCATTGCAGCATTATTCCCAATAGCCAAAATATGGAAACAACTCAAGCATTCATGACCAGATGACTGGATAAAGAAACTAAAGCAAACGGTGTTGGCGTGGATGTGGCGAGAAAGGGACCCTCCTTCATTGCTGGTGGGAATGTCGAATGGTTCAGCCCTTTTGGAAAACAGTATGGATGATTCTCAAAAAATTAGAAATTGAGCTCCCATTTGACCCAGCAATACCACTCCTGGGAATATATCCCAGAGAGGCAAAAAAGTATAGTTGAAGTGACATCTGCACTTGTTTGTTCACTGCAGCACTGTTTACAATAGCCAGAATCTGGAAAAAACCTGAGTGCCCGAGAACAGATGACTGGTTAAAGAAACTTTGGTACATCTACACAATGGAGTGCTATGTAGCTGTTAGAAAAGATGAAGTCATAAAATTTACATACAATTGGTATTACATGGAAAGTATCATGCTAAGCGAAATGATTCAGAAAGAAAGGGACAGACATAGAAAGATTGCATTATCTGGGGAATATAAAGTAACAAAGTAGGAGACTAACACCCAAGAATACCCGAGATAAGTACCAGGGGGTTTACTCCATGGCTTGGAGGCCAGCCGCACACGCTAGGGGAAAAGGCAGTTCAGATAAAGAAGGGAGCACCAAATAAAGGGTGTTGGGAGGATCCTCCCAGAATGGGAGATGCATGCTGAAAGTAGACTATAGACTGAACATGACTGCCACTCAATGCCTCTTTTGCAAACCACAGCACCCAAAAGGAGAGAGAGAACAAAAGGGAATGCCCTGTCACAGAGGCAGGGTGGGATGGGAGAGATGGGAGGGTGGGAAGGATACTGGGATCAGTGGTGGTGAAGAATGGGCACTGGTGGAGGGATGGGTATAACTGAAACCCAAGCACAAAAATCTGTAAGTCTACAACTGTACCATATGGTGTTTCACTAATAAAAATATTTTAAAAAAGAAACCATGGCACATATACACAATATAGTCCTACTCAGCTTTAAGAAAAAATGAAATGATGGCATTTTCTGCTATGTATGTGGATCTGAAGAAGTATTGTGGTGAATGACATTAGCCAGAAGAAGAGAGAAAAAGCACAGAATGATCACTCTCAGATGTGAAATACAAAGAAACATAGCTGGATAATATGAAATAACCAAATGAAGTAGAAACAAGAGTAGGAGAACTGGTCTTCACTAGGAAGTTTCCACTAGGGAGGGGAAGTTAGTTAGGGAAGTAAACACTAGGACAATGGTGGCAGGGGGGTGGGGGGTGGGATGCCTGACACAGAGGCAAGGTAGTGAACTGGAGGGAAACTGGGGGGATTGGTTGAGGGAAGTTGATATGGAGAAATGACTGGTGTTGGAGCATTTTATACTTGAAATTCATCATGAATATCTCTATAACTTTTTCATTCATAATAATAGCAAAATAAAAATAAATAAATAAATAAATAAAAGTAGTAATGGTGAGTTTTCTAAGCTTACCTCTCCATTTTCTAAGGGATGTATCTTGGAATAAAATGAAGTGCAGATGACCTCATCATCTTTGGCATAGGAGGGCGGTCCAGTGCGGGGATGAATATTGTAGAGGACTAGGCACTCTGAATCTGTCACTGCATGATATTGCCATGGCTTGTATTCAACATTATCAAGTGAACGTTCTAAAATCCAGTTTCCAGGCCGAGGAGAGTTCGCTGCTTTCACAATCACATATGCAATCTGGAATACCTGGAAAAACAGAAAGCCAGAGTGTGTACCTTTAAATCCCCAAATAGTCTCAATACTTTTTATCTATTACTAGAACACGTGGTTGATTCTACTTCAGAGTTTATTCTGTAACTCTTATCTATTTTGTTCTCTGAAATCATTTACCATTACATGTTCATATTTAATACATTTTGCTAAATTGAGATGTTTTATTTTGCCAGCTATGGATTAAACATAAATGAAACTTTAAAAGAATTTGAATTTTAGTTCTCTAACAATTCACTAACATCATTTCACCCATTATTATTTTATTTTACCTAGTTTTAAAATAATCCATTATAGAATGTTGTCTGGGACAACTCCTGTGAAAAACAGTATGAAGAGTTCCAAGTAAACTTAGAACTGAACTACCATTTGACTCAGAAATTCCACTTTGGGGTATCCATTCCCCCAAAGAAAATCACTCTCAAAAGGACATATGAAAAGTGCACCATTATTCATTGCTGCACTCATTACAATAATTAATACATGGAATCATCCTAAGTGTTCAATGACATAAATGAATTATGAAGATGTTGTGTACACAGTAGAATACTATGCAGCTGCAAGGAAGATACGATCATGCAATTTGATACTATGTAGTTGGAACTGGAAGATAACCATGTTGACTGAATTAAACCAGAAGAAGAAAGAAAAACACAGGATGATCTCACTTATCTGTTGTATGTAGACTACTTGGTGAGGAAATATAGTAAAAGGGGGATGGCCTAGATCACACTTGACCCAGTGTTTATAAAGGAACGGGACAATGAAGAAAAGAAATCAAGGGGGGAAAGAGAACTGAAAGTAATGAGTGAAAAGACATCAGGACTTCAGTTACACTGGTGATATGAATGAGTGGTATAGCAGTATATCCAAAACACAAACTCAACAAAACTGAAAACATGAGATCTAAGCTACAACCCTGAAATCTTGTAAGGTGCCTGTCAAGTAGACAGGCAGGGATGGGGCAGGGCGTAGGTTTGGGAAAGAATTTGACAAAACTGGTAGAGGGAAGTTGATATTGGTATTGTAATATTATATGCCTAAAACTTAACTACCAAGAATGTTGCAAATCACAGTTCCCTAATTAAAAAATGAAAAAATAAGTGTTTAAAACATGCATTATGTACTTAACTCACTAATCTTACAATTAAAGTTTATAAAGTATGATTTTCAACTTTATATGAATGATTGTTGGTATTTAGAAAATGTGCTTATATTTATATAAAATTTTGGAAGAGTAACATTGATATGGTATAGTGGGCTATTATAAAATCATTAGAGCCGGGAGACAGTGTCAAATCGCAGTGCCAACTTTTCTGTAACTTTGAGAATATTTTCTCCCTAACTCTTTCTTCACTATGAGTAAGGTCAGCATTTACTGAGCTGGAATTTAAGTTAAATAAACTACATTTGCAAAGTATCCGGCAAAAGACTTGACACTGAGAACTCAATAAATGATAACTTTACATGTCAAAAAGAAAAATAGAGAAGTCAGAATATATGCAGATTATCTGATTAAAACTGGGACATCTTAAAATACATTCTACCTTCTGTATGAAGTGATTATATGCATTACAAGATGGGAGGTAAAAAGAAAAAATTATCAATTAAATATAAGCCAACAGAGTGACAATAAGGATGTTGTGGCATCCTCTATTTTCAAACATGTACTGGAAGATGTAGAACAATGTTTGGAATATTGTATAATAGTGAATAAGCATATCACTATCAATACAGTTCAGAATACAAAGTAAAAATATTATTGAATGATATTTATATGCAAAGCCCATGATATAATACTGATAGAAGCCATTTTAAGCAACAGTCTTACTATCCATTGGAAATATATTGCAAAATCTGTCCTCCCGTTGTTCATTGATTTGCTCGAGCGGGCCCAGTAACGTCTCCATTGTGAGACTTCTTGTTACTGTGTTTGGCATATTGAATACTCTCGGTAGCTTGCCAGGCTCTCCGAGAGGGACGGAGGAATTGATCCCGGTTTGGCCTACCACTGTGCTATCACTCCAGCCCATATATTGCAAAATGAGTAAAAAAACTTACTAATATTTAAAAGCAAAATGCTACTTTTTTGGTACATATTGTAAAACTTGGTGACCTTTCCAGTTCCAAGCTCTGAGAGGGTCACTGAAGGGTAGAACAGGAAGGACAAATCAGTGAACTCTGACTAAAGTGGTTGTTGGGCCACAGAAGAAATACTGAAAAAAATGTTCCACAAATAAACTTCTGCAACCACAGCTTTGATATGAAACCTTTATAAATATATGAATATGATCAATAGTAAACTCCAAAGCACATGGGCTTCCCCTCAGCTATACCCCTCAACTGTAAAGTCTGTCATCTAAATATTAAAAATATTAAAAATTTTAGCATGAAAAAGAAAATGCAAGTGGCGCAGATGTTGGTCTTTTGACATCTTTACTAGAAAATGAGAACACTATGGACAATGAGAGAAAAATCATTAGCCATAAAATGATCAAGAAGAGTAGATCTGACAATTGCCTTTTAGGGTAGTGTTGTGTTAAAGGCAGTGGTTAAAATACTAAAGACAAGTCTGTTTCTGTTGGCAAGACACTGCAGGCCAAGCCTTCCAAATACTTCCTATTTTCTGACCATCTGTTTACCCTCAGCTTAACAAGAAACAGCTAAGGCATTTGCTGTGGATGGCTTGGGCTTTGATTGTTCTGTTTTATTGAATCACTACAGATGAAAATACTAGACATTTATTTATCAAAGATATACCAGTAAATATAACTTTAGATTGACACGTACATATGTGCATATGAATATATAATATGTTTATATGCATTCAGGAAGTATATTCAGGAATATATTTAAGGTAATATCTCTTGGAATCAAGAATCAGAGGAATACTTCATTCCCAAATCTGAGGTAATAGCATTCAAGCTTATCATATTGATGTACAGAATTACAACCAAAATGTTTTAATACTCAAACAATGTTGCTACATCACCTCAAATATGATCTCTCTTCCCTCATCACCTACCCTACTGTTAATACATTTTTTTAAATCCAAACCCAGGGGTTTATCATCATTTAATATTGTCTGCTCTCTTGTTTTGTCTCCAACCTTATATTTTTACTATAGTACTAAATGCCTCAAAATTATCCTTAATCATTTTTTAAATTAAAAAAATTTAAAACAAAATAATTTTTCAAACAAAGCACAAGATAGGAGCAATATTTGATAATGATAATGATATTTGATAATGATAATTATCAATCATAATGCAAAATATTACTTCTAATATTTATAATATCTATTTCTGTTTTAGGTGTCTGCCACAGAATTTATTTTATATAGTTCATATTTAAAAACTAATGTATACAGAATTTCTCTTAATATAACTATTGATTAATCTGATTAAAAACAGCAATAATAGTATCTACTACATGCATACACGAAACACTCTAGTTCTCATTTCTACTAACAAACTTTTGTGACAAAATCTATAAAATTTAAAAAAATAAATAACTGATCTTTTGTTATTGCTAGGGGCAAGAAGTAATTACCTTCTAATTGTTCAGTTTTAATTGTTCATTTTAATAGCTTGTCAATATTCATTATTTTTAACAAAATAATCAAAATCATTGTAACCTGCTTTCATGTTACTTTTATTTGAAAAGCACTATTTCTAATTTTGTTAGCTTTGATTTCCATCAACACTAGTATACTATATCACTTGCAAGAATTAAGACATATATGCGCTCCCTGGAAAGAAAGATGGCGGCCGCACGGGAGCCTTGTGGACAGCAGGTTTGAGCCAGGGGTGGGGGGCGGCAGGGGCCTCATGGGAAGGGGGGCGATCTGGGCCGTCCTTCATGCCCGACCGAGGTCACCAGCTGCCCCCCACGAGCGGCTCTCAGGCACGGCCACGGCCCGGAGGCACAATGACTTAGCACAGAGAGCCACCCGCTTGGAGCAGAAAAGCAAATGGACTATGTGTTAAACCGCGCCACCATGCCTGCCCGGAGGGGAAAGGGTGTTGTCCCGCTCACCCACTCCTCTCTGGAAAGAAAGATGGCGGCCGCATGGGAGCCTTGTGGACAGCAGGTTTGAGCCGGCGGTGGGGGGCGGCAGGGGCCTCAGGGGAAGGGGGGCGTTCTGGGCCGTCCTTCACGCCCAACCGAGGTCACCAGCTGCCCCCCACGAGCGGCTCTCCTGCACGGCCACGACTCCAGAGCACAGAAACCAATCTCTTAACTATCTAACTTTTAATAGAAATACTTCCAGGGTTAATAAGTAAAACAGCAGAAATCCAAAACCGCACGGCCGCTATCGCGGCCGCGCGACATCATTTTATTCTTAAACCAAGCTGTAGAAAGCAAATCATTTCACAACGCTGTTTCAGCATATCTGATGGGGGGGTCGTAAACTCTAAACAATAATTGTGCATCTTCTATCGAAAAAATGTATCTAGTCAAAGTAGATAGAGTATTAACTAGAACTCATCTGCCTCACAGGAATTGGGAGGGGTGGGAGGTGGGGTTCTATTGGGGTTCACGGTTAAAAATAAGTATTGGTAACGGGAAATGTGTGTGATACTTACATGACTGAGACCTAAACCCGAAAGCTCTGTAACTTTTCCCACAGTGATTCAATAAAGAAATAAATTATAAAAAAAAAAGACATATATGCTTGGTTGTTTGTGCCATTATGTTTCTATGAACTGAGAAAATTGCTTAAACCCTTTTACCCTCTGCTTCCCATTTTTTCTTTTTCAAAGTCAAAACCATGGAAGAGATAATGAATATAAAGCAGTCTGTGTTCTTTTGGTGAGAGGGGGGAATTTATTAAAATGTTAGAATGAGCAACTTTCCTTCCAGAAGAATATCACACATACATTTATAATAGAAAATAAAATGAGATGAAAAGCATAATTAAAGCTACAAGAAAAGTAAAGATGCATTGATGTTCTGAATAATGAACTTTGCTT